CTCCTGATAACAAAATATTAAGTGTCCTTCAGAAACAAGTGAGAAGCAAAATAAAGGTCCAGAGGCTGGAATTTATAAGAGAATGGCAAATGTAAAAATGTCACAAGCCGTAGGAGTCCGCGTAGGCCTGTCACGTGGCTTAAAGCAACCAATCAGAAAAGCTTGAACAGACTCAGGATGGAAGAAACATAACTTTGAAGACATTGAAGGGAGCTCTAAACTTGAGCTTATAATATGGTCACTTTTGAGATCAATGGGTTACCAAATTTTCTAAGGTATGGGGCCCTTTGGCGTGCAGGGGCTCCGCTATACATCAAGTCAAAAAATAATTTGACGAGACTGTCATGTCAATGACAATTAGAAATTGATTGTAGCTGTAATATTCAATATTTCTTTCATTGTCAAGTATTTTCAGTGAATGGGGTTGTTGATTTTGATTATTTCATTTGCAAGATAAAGTTACACGCATTTGTATTTCTTACCGTATGTGTTTTCTTTTAATTCTCAGTTCCACTTAGTTTTAAAGTTGCACTGGCATCACATCATCTCAAGTACAGACCAGAAGAAGGGGTTAATAGAATAAATGCAGACAAACTCTGTGGGAAGATAGCATCATTACTTTTAAAACCCCAAAATTTGACACCCGAGGAACTTTGCGTGCAAGGTTTGCCCAGGAGGCAGGATTAGATGCTGGAGGTTTGAGGATGGAGAATTGTTCACCACTTGAAAAAGCCATTTTTAACCTTGATACGCGAAGCGTAGAAACGTGTTTGTTGCGGGGACTCTGATATGCAAATGTGTCACTCACTCACACACTCAGGTGTAGACACTGTTTGTAATTAGTTGGCCCGAACGAGAGCACCCGAGCCCGATGCCATGTTGGAATAGTAACCGAGCCTGACACCATATTGGAATAGTAACCATGCAGTCAGCGCATACATGATTTATTTGGTAAAGCAGGTTGGGGAACTGGCAAGACAATAAGTCCTGATGTGGACCTGCACTATCTAAAATGATTAATTAATATCCACTTAAATATTACATGATAATGGATGAAAAAATAATGATAGCTGAAATAGATAAATATTCAAAAGTCAACGTTTAAAATATTCAAAATCTTTGAAACTACTCAAAGTGTGCATCATGCCGGCTCGAACTGATGATTTTGTAGCTTTTACATGACCATTAATGTTAGGTGTTTCACTAAATTGAAGTGGAGTTGGCTTTGAACGTTCGAATTAGCACTATAGCCAACTTTAAGGCTGAATTTCATGAGCATGTGACTCGTCCAGGCGTTAAAAATGACCAGGAGATGAGCATTTGTTTGCTGGAAAGTGACCTGTCTCATGTTAATGTGGTAAGCTTTGATGAGAATGTGTCTTATTCGACAACCTTAATGAACTTATATGAGCGAAACGAACACTTTTCAATGAATGAAACCAGGACAAACGTCTGCACCATTATTTAATATTGTAATTTCATTTTTATTTAGTAACATCTAAACCTGGGGCCAGGCGAAATATTGTTTTAAATATACGACCTTGTGTCAGCCTTGCAGTAGTCATTGACTAGCTTATTATTGTTTTACTTATTATCGTCTTGTTTATTTTAGTATATTGATCTGAACTCTGAGTGGGATGTGAAATGCACATAAACTGGCAAAAAAATTCCCAAGTACTTGGTTTTGATAAGCTTAATTATTTTTACCCTGTCTTGTGTTTACACTTTTGCTTCCTGATTGAAAAGATAACAAAGGGAAAGAAACCCCCTGTGAGCTCGTAGGAACACATGTTTATGGGTGGACAGATTTTTTGGATCAACACTGAAAATGGCTACTTATTTTGATATATTTTACGTGAAATATATATAGAGACAAGCAGTTCCACATTGGAAAAGAAGTGCTGTCTCATAAGAAACCTTACCTACAGTGTTGAGTGAAATGCAATGAAAAAGGCCCGTAAGCTCGTACGACTTGAAAACATGCAAATTTTCCCAGCAGGCAGACAAACATCAACATCAAGATCTGGGTGTGTGTGTGTGGGTGAGTGGGGGGGGGAGTAGTCTATGAATTTTTTTGGCAGGAGTGTCCTGTGTGACCCAAGAACCCTCAACCTTTACCACTCCATGTTCAGCTGCAATTTTGCCACCCTAGCTATTCTGTAATATGTGTGCCATGAAAGCCAATGAAAAAAGCCTACGCTTTCTGAGATAAGTGCGACCTTGCGTGGTATGAACCCCGCTTGTTTTAACAGTCTTTAAAAATAAACCAATAATTGCAAGTTCATCAACAAGTTTCATCTCTAGATCAGTTAATCCACAAGTTTGACCATAGGTCTCCTTTGATTTCTAAGGAAGCATCCTTGTTTGAAGGGTCGACCGACAGATGTGTTCCCATGTACAATACATCAGCCATCCAATCTGACATTTTTGCATTGGCTGGAAAAATGATGAGGTACATGATTGTTCATCATGATGTGTCTTTTTCTTACATGAGCCCAGCAGGTTATGAGTATTTGGTAACAGGGGATCTTGATAAAGTAGCAAGAATGTCTTCTGTGTTGGATTTGCCCAATTGGGATATATATGAAGTTATTCAAAGGTAACAATACACACAGATTGTAACTAAAAAAATGCACTACTGAGTATGATTATCCACTTGTTGTAGATGCCTTTCTCTCCTTCAAATAGAAGTACTCAAGTATGTACTTAAGAGGGTAAAGGGGGTTCCCTGAAATTTGAACTGTATTATAAGCAAGGTCCTCTGCATAAACTTCAGTTTTAATAAAGGGGTAGCGAATGGTAAATGCGAGACTTTGTGAGAAGGCAAAATCTCGTAAACTTACAGTCCTTGATCTCATTTGGCTTACTTTTCCTCCCCAGTATTGGTATTTAGTATAATTTGCATAGGTGAATATAAGAAGTGGACATTCTGATTGGCAAAAAGCTCATCATATGACACTTTATTATATCTCTCAGTTAGTACGCGCACTGTGATTGGTCAATTTAGCGGGCCGTAATCTACTGTACAGCCCGCGAAAATTTAAAGCTGTTTTCGTTGCCAAAATGTTTTGTGATTTATCGCCAAGTTTTCTTAAAATTTTTAACAGGTAAAAGTTTAAAACTTCCTTTTACTTCTGAAATTGTGTATTAGAAACTATTGACGATTTCAAATTGACTAGTTTAGCTTTCGAGGTGCGTCAGAAATTTGAAGCCATTCTGTGTGAATAGAAATCGTTCCCAAACCCATCAGACACCCGGTAGAGATATAATAAATATCTTACTAACCTCGTTTCCTTGGTCTGTACTGTAAGTTATGGATCCTCGTTTTTTACCCCTTCGATTTATGGCCCATGCGCTTAGGCCATAAATTGATGGGGGAAAAACTCAGTCCGTGACTTACAGTACAGCCCTTGAACTCGGTTAGTAAGAGGTATATATTCACCCTGCTAGAGCTTGGTCACTAAGCTCACCATCTTTGCCACCTTGGCAAAAACAAGGCAGACAATTGCTGAATGAAGTTTTCATTTATTCGAAAGACATCACTCCAAGTCCAGGATATTTGAAAGGGTGGAGAATTTTCAAAATGACTGCTGTCGCCCTTGGACCAAAACTTTTCAAGAACTTGTCTTCAGGGCTTTTAGCAATGGTAAACGTAGTGGTTGTGTCGATTGTCAGCAGGTCAGATTGATTAACTGAAATTTATTTTCTTCAAACTAAAGCTACTCATTCTTAGGCTATGATGACAACTGTAAATGAAGTCAACAACGATGAAACAAAGGTACTGGTGAATTTATTTTTCGTAATGTTTCGCTCATTTGTTTCACTGTCAAACTCGATTAGTAATTAGATATATTGATTGACAATCGATGTACATGTAAGCTTATTATTAAAACTACGGCTGCATGCGTGTATGCACACGAACAATTGAGTCAGTGTTTTTATGTTTCAGTCCGTTATTTTGTAGTCCTTGATATTCACCTCTGAAAATTACACTAAAACAATTATTCGCCTCAGGTTCAGTGAACATTGGTGAATATTCACCAATGTTCACTTCACCTTTGGCGAATAATTGTTAAACATCTGTAAGCAAACTACACAGCTGAACTAAAACTTGACCAACATTCCTGTCTAAATCCAGTTCCATATCAACTATTGCATGCAAGACAATTACCGCCATTTCAAGTCTGTTAAGAAGTAGCGTTGCTTTGTGCAACCCTAAATCAGATTTATCATCTTGAATTTCTGTCTCCATCAACAGGTTATCAAGAAAGTATGTCCTCCCACATAACCTCCAAGAATGCTGCCATGCATGTTTTTTAATGTAACTTTGTTGATCCGCTGACCAATAAAACAGCAGAAATCACTGAATGAGAAAATTTCACGTCAAGTATAATAAAATATTTAAAGAGTGTGCATAATAAAATGACTTGGGAATTGAGGTAAAGATATTTTTACAAAACAAAAATAGTGTTCAATATTAACTACGAAGCATTGAAAATAACATCAGTTGACTGAATAAAATAATATATAGATTTAGCCACGCCTAAAAGTGGGGCTCCTGGGCTGGGTTGTTCAAAGCCCTATTAAGTTAACCCACAATAACCGTGAATTTAGATTTGAGTTTTGTAACTTTGCGGTGAGGTTTTCTGTATGTTGTTTGGCCCTCTGTTTTGAGTTCGAATAACTTCAAAATACACAAAACGAAAGCAGTGAAAAAAGTATACTTATGTATTCATAACATATACATTCTTGTATGCAAGAAAAATTTATACTTCGGTAAACTTTTAATCCTGGGTTAGCATTAACCGGCTTCTGAACAACCTGTCCCTGTTTACAATAAGTTAACCTGACTAGAGCGCACGATCCAATCAAGCACTTGGTCAGCGGTCAACTTCAAAAAAACATGTGACCTTGATGAGCTCTAAACTTGAGCCTGCAATATGGTTACATGATACTGGTCAGCAGATACTACCATAACATGGATGTCCAATAACATGGAAGGACACTATAAACCAAGGCTGAATGTCTCTCAACCAGTTAGCTGGAGTATGGCCGCCATCTTGCGCAACTCCATTGTCGTCATTGCTGGCATGCATAAGCGCCCACGAGCAATACCGATAGCCATGAAAACCATAAGAAATTCAATTCCTCAATTTATATGTTTGTATTTTGAATGATTTCTTAGCTCCTCAATGGAATGTGTCAAAAGAAATTATTGATTGATTGAATTCATGGGTTTCCTTTTCTTTCTTATATGAGTATGGGGCTCCGCTTGGCAGCACTTCGGAGGGCTGCCAGAGCTCCACTAAAAATCACTGAATATAAAACAAGTTTTAGTAAACAAAAATATGAATCAATGAATGTAAAATGAGTTTACTGAACACAAATATGACACATAATAAATATTGCAACAATCTGGCAACCATACATTGATGCCTGTGCTGGCAATAACAAGCTGTGAGGTGAACGTTGGGTTTTGTTCCCCTTCTGACATCATCACCTTTGACCAAAATTAGCACCACTTATACTCAAGTTATGCAGGAGGAAACGATCTTTCCAATGATACCCAGACTCGGTACCCAGTGACTGGGTCAATAAATTGAGCCTGAAGTATGACCAAAAATGCTTAGAAATTTGAGAGAAAAACTTGTGGCAAAATTTCCCTCAGCTACACTTTGCTACTCTATGGTAAGAATTCTGTCTCACTGATACTTTCTGGGAAATTCTTGAACTGAAAACAAGCCTAGAAGAAGGTCAACCACTGGAGGGAAAAGATAAGAAAAGGAGAAAAATGAAAGGGAAAAAGAGCGAAAAGCCTAAAGACATAGGTCACTTTCTCCTCCAAAATCTGGAAATTTTGATTTCTGCACATGCTTGAGCAAAAATGTCATAAAATGAAATGCTAGTGGAAAGAAAGGCATGCTGTCTTATTGCAAATGCCCTTTTGAGTAGACTGGAGCTAATTTGGCTTATATCCAGGCTGAAAACTTGACAAAGAGAGGGAAAAACCTAAACATAGAGCTCAAGAGATAAAACTCTCAGTAAAATTGATGCATACACGGACACCAGAGATGCCAGACAAAATTAAATTTTTAAATGAGCCAAAGAAAACTCAATTAACAAACCAAGATGACTGGGCCATTTCCGAGTTGCCCTTTGCCTCTGTGTCAAAACGAGTCTATGTGTGAAACCATTCATATGAAAATGTGTTCTGCTCAGAGGTTCATTTTCCACACAAATCAAACTCATTTTCATAGGAAAGGTCTTGCATGAGAACTCATTTTGAAACAGAGGCACAAGGTAATTCAGAAATGGCCTATTTACATGACGTGACATGCTTGGCAGTTCACATGTCCAACCATCTCTTCTCAGGGAGGTATGAGACCAGATTGAAGAGAGCAGCAGAAATTGAGCCTAGGAGATCAACAATTTTGCCTCTTCTCAAGACCCAAAACACTTGGGTTCAACGGTCTGTAAGGAAGGAGGCATGAAAGATCTAAAGAATAGAATCCTGAGAGCCAGAAGTGCATTTATTCATCTTAAGAAGATCTTGAGGTCCAGTAACATCTAAAAAAGAATGAAGTTATGATTATATAAAACACTAGCACTAACAGTCTTGCTATAACAATGTGAAACCTGGAAGATGAATGAAGGAGACAACAAAGCATTTGACTGCCTATGAAGAATACTCTGTGTTAAATGGCAAGATCATGTCAGAACTGAAGAGCTTCTAGAAAGAGCTGAGTCTCAACATATTAACCTGTTGACTCCTGGAGCTTTTAGCCAAAAATGCATTTTTTGGACATTTTGGAGATTTTCAGGCTGGATATGGGCCAAATTAGCTCCAATCTACTCAAAAAGGCATTTGCAACATGACAGCATGCCTTTCTTTCCACTAGCATCATGTTTTACAACATTTTTGCTTAAGCATGCGCAGAAATCAAAATTTTGAGATTTTTTGGCTGAGAAAGTGACCTACCTCTTAAGGTTTTTTGATTTCTTATTTTTTTTTTGCCTTTCCTTTTTCTCCTTTTATTTTCTTTTTGCTGCAGTGATTGACCCTCTACTGGGCTTACTTCCAGTTTAAAACATTCTGAGAAAGCATCATCGAGACGGGCAATTTTTGCCATGGAGTAGCCTTGTGTTGTGGCAGGATATTTTGCTCTGAGTTTTTCACTCAACTTTTTTAGCATTTTTGTGCATATCTCAGGCTCCATTGGGCCAATCACTCTGATTTGGGTATCATTGGAAAGATCTTTTCCTCCTACAGAAGTTGAGCATAGATGATGACAATTTTGGTCAAAGGTGATGACGTCAGAAGTGGAAGAAAGGCCAAGGGTCATCACAGCTGGTTACGGCCAGCACAGGAGTCAATGGATTAATTAATTGGATGTCCAGGTAAAAGGTAAAATTGAAACAGATTTGTATGTGAAACAGACAGACAAACACCAGTACTTGTATTGCATGTCATGCCATCCGAGAAAATGCAAGGAAAGTATCCCTTATGCTCGGGATATGCGACTTAGTCGCATCTGCTCCACAACGCAGGCAGTTGAAAATAGAGCCAGGAATCTAAGCAATTTTCTGGTGGTGAGGGGGTACGATAGAGTCTTTGTGCAACAACAAATTCAGAAAGTGAGATTGGTAACAATGGAAGGGGCACTGAACCCACATCTCCAAAAAGGAAAAAAAGGACAGTGTACCAATGGTATTTTACCATCCAAGCCTACCAAATATTGGGGGTATACTTCAAGAACTTCAGTCTCTCATTCACTGCTCTGCAAAATGCTAGGAAATTAAGGAACTTTTGATGCTGGCTTTTCAAAGGCCAAAACACCTGGGAGACTACTTGGTGAATGCAAAGTTGAAATCAATACGTACAGGAGTAAGACCTAAAAGAGCTGTAAAATGAACGATGCAAAGTATGTGATTATCTTTGCCCAGGTCACGTCTTTATGTCAAAGACCACCAGAAGGGTATTTTCCATCAGTTCCATCAATTTTGTCTATTTGTTGTGTTGTAAAGTATGCGGTGTTCAGTAGTCATGTTCGATCCACCTTAACAAAGTGCAGATTAAGATTTTAGTCATAAGAGTTGACTCAGGGCTCATAGACTTTTGGCCAGTGACAAGGAGACAGATGACCTTGTTTACAAACATGTTACAATGGTCGAGGTCAAAATGGCCTGGAGGATGTTAGCATCGATAGAGTAGTAAATGAGTCGGCTTTACGTGGCAAAGAGGGCCAATGGGCCTATAGGCTTCAATGTGTTTGAAGCCTGACAGTCCAAATGAAAGCAATTTTTTCTTTAGTGAAAACAGAACAGTGAGAGGAAGAGGACCTCAAGTACCCTGTTGTAATTTTTCATGCTCACTCGGTGGTCACAAGCCCATGCTTATAGAATTTAACTCTAATGTTAGTACGCCTGTTACTAGTGCACGCTAGCTTATCTTCTACTGTACCTGTTTTATGATAATGGTTTTCTGGTGGTGTGTGTAGTTGGGACATTCCCCAGTAGACATAGACCAGTGGAAAAGCAAAATATTTTAGTAAATCAATAGAGTTTATAGACTCTGTGGCCTCTAGCCAGTCTGCATTTGCTTAAACTTAAACGGCATTATAAAATTACAGCCCTCACTCAAGAAGAGCTTTTCCATAGTTTACATGGCTTGTAATTGCAAGACATTCTCCACATAATTTGCTTCACAATTATTATACTTTTTTAAATGTAGGGTTCTTACCTTTTATTTTTTTCTGTGATATATCTGTATTTGGTTCAACCTGTCAATTTATGTAAAAAAGGCATTAAATGCTACGTCAGCAGGGCAGAAGTCATGCAATATTCAGATTCCTTGAGTTCATCCCCCAACCTATCAGGAACCTGTGTGCACTATGCCAAATGTGTTCTACCTAGTATGTTACTTCTTGTTAACATCACAACAAAGAAGTATCATGAAAAACATGTGCTCTCCTTGTGGAACTGTTCTCTCTGGAACAAAGCAATTTGCTCTGCACAGAAGATAAGTCTACATTAGTGTTGACTTAATAGGGCCATTTAAACAAGAAAAATAAGAGGTGGCTTACACAAGCCATGGCTTACAGAAGGTGTAAACTATGCCATTTATATGAACACGGCTTATATGAAGATGCAAAGTACTTGTATAAATGGTTCACAGTTTCCCCATGACTAACGCCTCCTTTTTGTGTTGGTTGTCATGGCAATCTCGGCCACACAAACGCCCTTGTCCAGTGTGAGTTCATGTCTTACGTAAGCCACAAACAAGCTACGATACCATTTATACGAGTGGTCTCGCATCTTATACAAAACCCTTGTCTCACACAAACTGGGGCTTATGTTATCCGCTGCTTGTGTAAGACATGAACTGGTTAAAATGTACCCTTAATACGGTAAGTTTGTGTCTTATGCAGGCCATGGCTTATTTTCTTTGTATAAATAGCCCTGATGTGTCTATTCCACATGGTAGTAGTAAGCATGGTATGTATTACAATTGGACAAATATGACAGAAATAGAGGGGGGCACGGCCCTGTGGCGGATTGTAGCAACTTCAGGTTTTATGCACAAAATGAAAGCTACGATACCATTTATGATAGAGCCAAGTTCACTGGAATTCAGTTAGAAAAACACACGTAAAATCCACTAGTTTATTAACCTTTGGTGAAAGTCCCTACAAATGTGACTGAAATCAACATCCACTGACTTGTGGGGACTTTTGAAAAACTCAGGTCCGCAATGCATACTTGACGCACTATGCTTAGTCTTATTCCATTTAGTTGGAGTTTGTTTTCACAAGTCATTATCTGGGAGTTGAATTGCTATAATTGAGAAGGCAATTGCTGCAAAGGTAAAGGTGTTACTTTGAAACTGGAGACATTATAGTGGTGGTAGAAAACTTGTGGCCCATTGGTCACATCCTGGAAGTAAAACCAAACAAGAGAGACGGGCTTGTGAGGAGAGTCACACTGCAAACCAACCTAACAAACCAAACAGCACCCTGGAACGTCTCATCGACAAGATCGTTCTTCTACAGGCTCCTAGACTCCATGGGAGCAGCTAAACATTGTTGATCTTGATTTCCTCATAGAGAACAAAATGAAGAAAAAAAAGCAAGTGCCACTGCGAGCCTGACATGTGAGTGGCCAAGGTACAAAGATCTGGAATTCCCTTCCTCTTACAATCACTTCTTTGTCAAGTTTTCCCAATTTTAAGAAAAAACTGCTAGAGTTTTTAGTAAAATAATTACTGAACTGGCAAAGCCACACACTGTAGCACTATCTATGTAACCATATTGTAAACGTATGAGGTGGCCTCAACTAAAAGCCTGGTGGTTTCTAGAGGTCACCTCGCCATACATTGAAACATATGTAAATAATTACTATATTAGGTAAAAAGGCAAATAAACAGAATGAATGAATGTGGCAAGCAGCAAAGCCATGAGCTGTGAGTAGCTCGGGCACCTCACGGCTTCATATATCACACTCGCATGCTCACGATCAACCGCTCACTTGTGTTGCGTTTTTCTTTGCAAGCAACAGAGAGACTGATCGCAGTCTCTGTTCTCAACCAAGAAGTTTGCTTGTAACATCAGAGAACAGTTGTCTCTTTATCGATTTGATTGTGATGAACCATTTTGAATGGATTTAGTGACAACATATTACTCAACTTCTCCCATTCGAATCACTCAACTAAGTTTAAATGCTTCCAGTTTGCATTTACGAGCCAGTATGTAGGATTCAAACATGCGTGACATTTCCGTTATGTGCATTACACTTGATTTAAAGTTTAACTCGTCAATGATCATGTGATTCGTTGCGTAAGATTTTGTTCAGTACATACCGTGAAAGTTCATGTATAAGCTGCACCTTTTTTCTAAAAATTCAAGTCAAAAATAGGGGGTGCGGCTTATCTACGGAAACATCTGAGGTTAGAGTTCTCTAAGGCCTAATTAATATTCATACAAAACTTCTTAAGATGTCACCGAATAAAGTAAAACACATATTAACAAATTGAAAGCACGTTGTTGTTGGTCACTACCTTTTTCAGGAGTGGTGGCTCCTAAAGGAGCTGTTGGTATCTTGAAGCGTTCATTTGGGATTCTTGTTCTCCAAGAGTTCATTCAAGTGATTAATTTTCACTTTACTCAAACAACTCAACACCAACCTGCAGGGAATCTCCATTCCTCCACAAAGCTGTTTGCATTGTTTTTTATCACCTTCACTGCAAATTTATCCATGGGATGATTGCTAACTGGTCGTTTTGCCAAAGTGTCAGTTTGCCAATGTATGAAGTTGATTTGCCAACGTCTAATGTCAGTTCATCAATGCTGATATGTCAGTTCGCCAATGTCCAAAATACTTTTCAAAATAGATCTCAAATGTATTTACAAATTACCAGAGGAAGATAATGTCCCCTTTGATGTAAGATGAATTGTTCATTTCGGCTTGAAAATGTTCGTTTCACTCTCCCCAATCTCTCTCTCTCCCATGCCATTTTGATAATACACTGGTTGATCGATGGCCAATTGTATTTGAAAACTTTATCAACCTTCCACGGTTTTTATTTGTAGAGTATGAACTGACTGTAAAACCATTTTATTAAACATTCGTGTAGTTAAAGAGCCATAGAGTCGAAAATATATTAGTTTGATTACATGCTTAGAAGCGTTTAGACTTGCTACAGGGTGTTTCAAAAGTCTGTTCCAATTTAAAATTGTTAATTTTTCGAACAAATCAATTGTTTGTTAGAACATTTTCAACACATTGAGGTAGAGAATTTATTAAAATAGCTGGCAGTTGCCTGATTTCAAGCCGAAAAGGACTAGGTACAAGTCTGTAATTTATGGGATTAGCAACTATTGATCCACATAGTCATAAAGTGCAGACCAAGCTTAACAAAATCCCCAAGTTTGGTGTCAATAGACCCAATAGGAAGCAAGATACAGCCATTTGAAAATGTCAAAATTTACAAAGAAATGTATGGCCATATGGACGCTGTGTCCGGATGACCGAACATTTCTTTGTTAATTTTGAGGTTTTTAAATGGCTGTATCTCCGTCAAAACTAGCCTGATTAACACCAAACTTGGGGATTTTGTGACACTCGGTATGCGCTTTCTGACTATGCAGATCAATAGTTACTTTTCCCATAATTTACAGACTCACTCCTAGTCCTTTTCGGCTTGGAATCGGGCAGTAACAGTCTACTAGATGCCTTTCTTTCGATTTTCGCTCCAAATGTGCACACGCGCATTTTCCCACCATTTTTTTCGCGCCCTTTGTGTATGTTGTTCCTTTCCTGAATTTGTTGTTATTCTCTGATTGTTTTCCTTAACTTTCTGTTTTCTCTATCATGAAAATGAAGTCAGACATTGTTTATGCTAGAGCTCAAGCAGCCATATTACGATCTGGTCATTCAGTCAAAGAAATCGCTAAATTTCTTAACAAGATGGAATGCTGGGTGAACAAGTGGTCGAAAAGAGAGTGCTTCGAGGACAAACCAAGAAGTGGACGACCATCTGTTTTGACCAATTGTGCTCGAAAATCAATGGAGAGAGCAAATTACAAACGGAACAAATTGCCAAGAATCTTCAGCAGAAAAATATCAAAGTTTTGAGCATAACAGTGTGGAGATACATGACTAGGAAAGGATGGAAGGCTTTCAAGAGAAAGAAAATATCTTTGTTGAGCAAAAGGTAAAGGAAAGCCTGTTTGAGATTTACTAAGAAATACGTGAAGCTTAGAGCAGAAGATTGGGACAATTTTTTATTTACAGATGAGTGTCCTAAATATCTTTTCCAGTACCCTAATCCAAAAAACAATATTGGGGCTTGCAGGAATGTGATGTTCCTCCAGCTTTCCAAGTGAAGCAAAGTGCAATGGTGATGATGCGAGGTGGCATGATGGGTCGTGGGCTAACAAATGCTGTGTTTTCACGAGAGAGGTTTACCACCATTACTGCTTACCAAGGTTCCGTCACTAAACTGCAGTTGTTAGAGAAGCTGATTACACAGACCTAATTAACTAAAGTAGGCTTCAAACAACAGACGGTTTTAGATTTTCTCAGAAAACAAGTGCTGCAATGTTGCGTCTTTGTCAATTTGCAGGCAGTGATGTTGAGCCAAACTCTTCATAAATGTAAAGCTTTGTAGATGAATAGTGAAAAGAAAATTTTAATATATCTCGCTGAGCCTCTTCCCGCATGTTTACCGGTACTTCTTCTTATTTGGGACCGCTTTAAATTCTAACATTTGCTTTTCTTCTCCAGAGACCTCAATTATGATTTTTTCCCTCTCTCTTTGTGGTAGGTCTTCCTCTAGTTGTGCCTGCATGTACACTGCTACTAAGCTACTGAGCTTCCAACAGAAAGGAAACGCTTATGGCACTTGACAATGAATGGGAAACAGCAGTCCAGGATTTCTTTGTCTAAACATGAGTTAATTTAGCTTTTCTTGCTCGTCGACTTGAAACCTACTGATATTAGGAAGAATCTTTGTCTACTTTTCTCTTCTTTACATGTGGAACACATGAACACTTGCTGCCAAGCTCTCTCGACAATGTCTGCTTTTTCTTGGTTACTGTCGGTTACTGAGCTAAACCATGCCCGATAAGGCGTTCAACTGTTGGCAAACCTAGGTTGAGTTACTTTTGATTTTGCCACCATTTACTGAGGTTTGCTACCGTGTTTACATGATTAAAAATTCACTTCAGTAAAGTTAAAACAAAACCAAGGTAAACATCTCTCGTGAAAACACAGGCAAAGTTAC